TGCCCAAGTGCTGGATTCAAAGTGAAATCAATGAAGGGTATTTGATGTTGTGATTGCTAGTGGTAAAATCATGGAGCTTCAGAATGAATGAGAGGGTGAAGGTCTAGTACTTGGGCTGCTGTGTTAGAATACATACGACTTTGAACTCTAAATTGTGGTTTGGGCCTGCACATAAACTTTCTATGGAGGTAGCTTTTGCATGCTTTTTCTTTTTTAACTTGGATGAAATCTTATTTAAAAAATAAAGAAACTGAGGCTCATACTTGTGACTTAGCCATAAGGAAACATTTTTTTTTTTCATGTAGACAAAACTGCTTCAGGGAATTCCTGTTAACTTCATCTTTGCTTTTCCTTGCTGGAGTCAAGGTCACTACCTGGCGCCTGAATTTTCAGGCGCCAGCCTGGGTGGCCAACCTAATGGAATAAAATAGTTCCAGCTTCAAGTAATGGTGAATTTGGAGCAGCGCCCAGAGTAATTAAACCCCCGGAGTAAAGAATTTGATGTTGGTTTTTATTCATTTCAGTGAAGAGGCTTGTGACTGGGAATATGATAAATTCCAAGCAAAGATAAATAGAGTCTTTAGGGATTAATGCCCTTGCCTTGAAGATTGTTTGGTTCCGCATTAAATTTAGATAATTCAGTAAGAGAAAACTTTTTCTTGATAGATAACATTGCTAGACAGGATAAAATTCAGGATGTTTTTCCATTCATTAAAAGATGATGCAATAGAGTTAGGTATAAGTTTTGTAACCGTCAGTAGAGTTAAAGACTGAAACATTGTGACGCACAATTCCCCAAAAGATTTCATATTATGCTACCTCTGGTTATCCCATCTGTTCTTTTTCTTGCCTTTTTTGCTTTCTGTGTTTTCCCAGTATGCAGTGTTTTCTTAGAAAATGAAACTAAATTGACTAAAGTAGTTGGTTCCCAAAGAGTAAGTTAAGGAAAGTTCTAGAACTTCCTTGTTTTACAAATAATAAATTTGTGGTGATCCAAGAGGAACAATGAGGAGCAACCTCCAACCAGTGGGTGGCTCTCATAGCCATTTCAGTGGGAAAAGATGGGGTTATCCAGACCCTACTACTGACTCCCTGAATGGGGGCAGCTGAAACTTAGGGGCAGAGCTACCAGGCTGTGACCGGAAAAAGACTGAACACAGGTGGGCCTAACTCCCATTTTTGTCTTCTGTATGTCCCCTGATCTCTCTGCTCAGTTGATACTATCCTACTGTCTGTAGAACAGACAGCATCCTGCCATGTGCTGGCCAATAAATTTTTTCTTCTCTCTTTTAGCATTCCTTTTTCTCATTTCCAAGGTAAATCTGCTTTTGGATCTTGTGCTATATTTTTAAGTGGGCAAGTGGGGGAACTCATCCCCATTCCTTCCTAGTTTTCCCCATAGCAGCTATTTGTTACAGCAATAGTAGGATACTAACAATTTTAGACTTCACAGAAAGTTGTAAAACTAAGAATAGTACCCTTTACTAAGATCCATGTATTAGTATTTTTTAAATCAGTCTTTCCTTTATTTCTGAACCACTTTGGAGTATGTTTTATGTCTTGGTCCTTTACCCCTAAATACTAAAATATTTATTTACTAAGAAGAGGATTTTTTTTTTTTTTTTTTGCATACTAACTATATAGTTCTCAACTTTAACGAATTTCACATTGGTGTTTTTATCTAATTTACCATCCATGTTCTAATGTTGTTCAATACAACATTTTCCCCCTTTTTGGTGAAGGAGCTAGTCTAGGATTAGTCTAGGATTAGGTGTTTTATTTGATTATCATGTCTCCTTTATCTCTGTACATGGGACATTTTTGTAACTTTTTTATTGGACTTTTTGACATTGATTGTTTTCCCCTCCTAAATAGCATGCTATTCATTCAAAATCTGTCTGATGTTTCCTCTTAGATAGACTAAGGTTATGCATTCCTGGTTAGAACATTACATAAGTGATGATGTGTCCTTTTCAGCGGGTATCACATCTAGATACAATACCTTTCATTGGTAATGTTAATTTTTATACCATCCACACAGGGTGTTACTTTCTTCAATGTATAGTAACTATATATTATTTTTCCTTATAAGCAGTAAGAAGTCTGTGGGAAGATATTTTAAGGCTATGCAAGTATTCTGCTCCTTATAAAATTTTCCTTTAAATTTAGTACCCTTTGATAATTCTTGCCTGAACCAATTTTTGCTTTGATGGTTACAAAGTATTTCTAATTCTAGTATTTTTTTCTATGCTTACTGGTTCACATGTGATATTCTGCTGCAAGAAACAACTTTCTTTCCTTTATTAATCATTGATACAGATAAATACATTTCTATTTTTTCAATAGTTTATAAATTATTACTCTTCTTAATTATTTTGCTGCTCAGATTGTCTTGGTTCCTGTGTTGTTGACATGCCTGCTTTTTTAGTTTATTTCTTTCAGTATTTTCATACTTTCTAGAATAACAACATGTTCTTTCTTTTATCATTTAGTAATGTCCTGAAAAATGACTCTATATTAGTTTATATGTGTGTTTTTTACATTGCTTTTATTGCTTTCAACAAGTCTTCTATTACTGGACAATTAGATGTTTTTTTTTTAATATCTACTATAATAGTGTGCTTCACTTGTGTGCATATGTTTTATATCATTGGAGATGTATTTTCAGGTTAACTTAGGAAGTGAAATTGCTGAACATAGTAGACTACTGTGGCTCTTATAACAGAAAACCATGAGCTGAGTCCTTAAACAGCAGAAATTTATTTTCTCAATAGTTTTGGAGACGAGAAATCCAAGATTAAGGTGCTGGCAGAAATGGTGAGTGATGAGGTCTTTCTTCCTTGCTTAGAGATAGCTGCCCTTGTGCTGTGTCCTTACCAGGCCTTTACTCTATGTTTACATCGTTCTGGTGTCTCTGTTTTACAAGAACCCTATTCCCTGTGGATGAGGCTCACACCCTTATAACCTCTATTAACTCTTATTACATCCTTGAAGGACTTATATTTGAATACAGTTGCCTTGGGGTTTTAGGCTTCAATAATAAAGATTTTGTGGGGACACAATTCAGTTTATAACAGTAGATCAAAGAATAATACTTAAATACTTTTTGTTTTATCAGATACTTCTTATAACCATAGGGTTTGTGTACCATTTGCATTTTTACCAACAGTGTATGAAAGTGCCTGTTTCCCCATACCCCCTCCAATAGAATGTATTGTGTTTACATGGTGAGGAGGTCTTTTTATGTGAGTGAAATTGTACATCTTCCTCTATGTTTGAGTTATTTTATATCTTTATTTTTGTAAAGTGTCTGTCTTTTGCCTGCTGTTCAGTAGATTTCTTACTCATTTTTTTCCTTTGATTATAAAAAGTTCTTTATATATTGAGTATTAAACCCTTATCCATATATGTAGTGATAAATATTGGAGATGTTATTTTCTAGTATATTGTTTCTTTATAATTCCCCCTCACCCCGACTGTTATTTTTCTTTGCTATTAAAAGTTTTCTGTTATTAGGTATACAAATGTATGTTGTTTCTTTTTTCCATCTGGATTTCGGATTTTAGTTCAAAAGTATTTTTTTTTTATATTCAGATAAAGGAGAACGTCATGTTTTCTTTCTGATCTGTATAGTTTTGTTTTTATATTTCAGTCTTTCATTTTGTATTTATTCTGTGTGTCATGCAAGGATTGGATATAATTGTGCTCTTTTTGCAAATGGCTGTTCATTTGCCCCCAAAATCTGTTAACAAAAAGCACATTTGCCTCAGTGACTTGAGATAGTGACTTCTAAGATTTCTGTGTGTAATCAGTGTTTTCATACTATAGGTTGAACGACCTTTGTGAAGTTTTATAGAAACAGTCAAATAAATATGGGGAAATGAGGCTCTCCCTGGTGACTCAACAGGTTAAAGTGCAGCACTGTGAAGCTGTCTACAGCCACTGCAGCATGAATTTGATCCCCCGCCTGGAGGTGACCCACATTGTGTGGCAGACCTCTTCTGACTCTTCCAGTGCTCCCATCAGCAATATATTTCACTTTCTTGATTGTGGCCTTTTATACACAAAGGTTTTTAATTTCTATAAAGTTTATCTGTTTTTTGTTGTTGTTGTTGCCCATAGTATTTGTGTCATGTCTTGAAAAACCAGTGTCAAGTTAGTGATCATAAAGATTTTCCCATTATTTTTAAAAAGATTTTATTTATGCATACAAGAACTGGGGGATAGGCCAGAGGTGCAGTGAAGGAGGGGGGGTGACTAGAGACAGAGTGGGGAGCAGAACAGGTGGATTTACTGAAATACACTGCTGAGGGGAGCGGTGGGTTAAAAAGAAATGGACTATTGGGCCATGTAGGTTAGCTCCCTGGTTAGGGATTGAACTCGTACTGCAGTGGCTGCTGACAGCTTCATAGTGCTGAGACTTAACCCCTTGTACCACCAGGGAAAACCTTTACCCTTATTTTTTGGTCTAAGTGTTATGTTTTTTAAAAAGATTTATTTATGCATACAAAATTGGGGTACAAGCCACAGGTGCAGGGGCGGTAAAAGGATTCACCAGAGACAGCGTGGGGAGCAGAACAGGCATGTTGACAAAGTACACTGCTGAAGGGACCAGAGGGCTGAGAGGTCTGGAGAGGTCTGCTGCACCATGTGGGTCAGCTCCTTGGAGGGATCAAACTCTTGCTGCAGTGGCTGCAGATAGCTTCATAGTGCTGTACTTTAGCCCACTGAACCATCAGGGAAGGCCCCAAGTGTTTATGTTTTTAACTGTTATATTAGGTAATGGATAGATCCACTTTGATACTATTTTTGTATAATACTAAGTGCGATCCATTTTCAGTCTTTTGCATGTGAGTATTCGGTTATCCCAAAGTCATTTGTTGAAAGACTCTTCTTGAATTGTCTCAACACTCTGAAAATCAATTAATCATGGATGTGTTGGTTTATTTCTGAACTGTCAAGCCTATCCCACCACTTTTTTTTTTTTCCTTTGATAACAGGATCATGGCGTCGACAGCACCATTTTCCAGAATCCCAAAAAGCTTCACCTAACTATTGGGATGTTGGTACTTTTGAGTGAACAAGAGATCCAAGAGACATGTGAAATGCTAAAGCAGTGTAAAGAGGAGTTCATCGAGTGAGTAATCATATGAATATAAAAGGATGGTCACTCTGTGTTGACCTCTTTCTGGTATCACAGACTTGTTTTTGAACTAATGAGCTGGTTGACATGGGAACAGATTTGTTGGTACAGCCATTTGTAACAGTAAAAATTGCATCATTGTCTAAAATATTCATTAATAGGGCAACCCATTCTTTCCTACAGAAGGGAATTCCCTTAATGATATATCAAACAGTATAGGTTATAGTGTTAGTATAGCATAGTATTAGTTTTCTGTGCTGTTAGAATACATTACTATAACCTTAGTGGCTTGAGATAATACAGACTTACTATCTTATGGTTCTGTGGGGTAGAAAGCTGAGAGGGATTTCAGTCAGCTAAATCAAGGTGTAGACAGAGTTTTGTTCCATTCCATAAGTTTTGGGGGTATAGCATACCTTGCCTTTAAAGTCCAGCTTCTTAAGACTACTTAGATTTCTTGGTAGTCCCTTCCTCTGTCTTCAACACTGACAGCGTTGCAAGCATTGCATCTTTCTGATCATTCTGTTGTCAGAACCCCTCTCCCTTTCCTTCATTTACTTGAAGGAAAAATTGTTGAAAAATGAAAACTGAGAACTGACTCACTTGAAAAAAAAAAAAGGTTTTTTAATTCAGCTGCATAATATGCAGAGCCTATACTCTTCTAACATGGCCTTATAGAAATGTGTTACCTAGTTTCTTAAGTAAAACATGATAAAAAGATTTAAACATTTTTTCTAGTTACTTTATATGTGAAACCATGTAATTTGATGACTTAATTGTGGCCCAATTGTTTTTTCCATAATTGTTTTGAAGATAGGTTTCTTGAGTTAATCTAGTTACCTAGTTCCTAAGCTGACTAGGTTTGCAGTCCACCTGTCCTTTTGAATCTCAAAAAACAACAGAGAATACTTATTTTTCTTGTTCTTTGCTCAGTGATGGGCATAGCTTTTCTGTTTTACCTAAAATTAAAAATAATTTGATGTTTGTAATTAGATATTTACTTATTTTTATGCATAAATTTATGTTTAACCTTTCAAAGCAGAACAACCTTCACTTGGTCATTCTGAGCATCAGTTTTGGGTTTTTTTTTTAAGATTTATTTATTTGTGCATACAGAACTGGGGTCAGGCCAGAGACTCAGGGGTGGAGAAAGACTTCACCAGAGACAGAGTGGGGGGCACAGAACAGGCAGGTCAACGAAGTACACTGCTGAGGGGAGCAGCGGGCGGGTCAGGAGAGGTCTGCCACACCATGTGGTCACCTCCAGGGCAGGTGGGAATCGAACTCATGCGGAAGTGGTTTCAGCTTCTTAGTGCAGTGCTTTAACCCTCTGCACCACCAGGGAGGGCCACAGTTCTGGTTTTTTAACTTATTCCCAGATCACTTTTTACTAAATGAAACCAAAAGCAGCTATATTTTCTTGACGGCCAGTGGTAAAATCCTGCTAAGAAAAAAAATATATATTTATAGAAAATACTTGTTTAGAGAAGTATTTGTTTTTTTTTACCTTATGAAAATCAGGTCAGAGATTTTTTAATCACTGAAGCTCTATACTGAGCTGTGGGAGGATTTAGCTGCGTTCTTCCCTTTTATGTCTTTTGGTGCCTTTTGTGATTAAATGTCAACTCTGAACCCTTGAAGTATGTCAGGGTGGTGTGCCTAGAGAATGAAGAGCAGCCTTAATGGTTCCGAAGAATTTTTAACATGACAGGATGAAAACCGTAATTGTAGTTTTCCAATTCAGCAAAGCTTTTGAAATAGGACAGTTACCCTGCCAAAAATCTGCAGTGCAGGCAAAAACTTTTTTGAAAATGCTCTTTTCAAAAAGATGGAAAGATTTGAAACTAACAAGTAAACAGACATTCTCAAACCTCTTTCACTTTGCTCTGTACTACACACACTTGTTTAAAAACATGTAATGCAAAATTAATTTACTTGTGAGAAGGAGGATAAGAAACAGAGGCCTTGTTTCCCTAAAAGGAAGAAATGTCTACTGGGAAACAAAAAATGCTTGAATTAAAGACTTGGTGAGTAAAATGCATCATCTGACTTTTTTTCCTTTTTGCTTTTTGCCTTCAACCTGTGTATATGTATACTTGGAAGAAGTGTCAATAAATACTTGCATTTCTTACCTGAATCTTTTATGATGTACAGATCCCAAATTGTATATAAAAGGTAAATCTTGAAAATGAATATATATACAACATACATGTACTTAGCCTCTGTTTGATTTGAGGGATTAAGTAAATGTGACTATGGGCAGTTGAATATTTGATTTAAATGTGGGGATGATTTTGGATTTTAAGAGGTGTTATCTGACCAGAAACAGAAGTTTGATTTCAGTTCTTAGGCTAATGGCTCATGTAGCTATATAGATTTTGAATGAATTATTCACAGTGTTCAGTAAATGCTGAAGCTCTAAATGTGTCCCTAGTGACTTTTCTTTGTGAGATGCTTTGAGTACACAACTAGTGTGATTGCTTTGAGTATATAGTCTGACAAATATATAGCACTTTTTTTTAGCTCCAGTATCATTCTACTTATGCCTAAGTGTTCCCAGTAGGCCTGAGGTAAAACCCAGTAACAAGTTAAAAAGGGACAAGAACAAGAAGAGAAAAAGGAGGAAAATAACTTGTGGACAAATGTTAGTTCCTAGTTGCCTCAAATATCACTTAATTGAAAAAGTAGGACTGGGCCCTCCCTGGTGGTGCAGCATGTTAAAGCACAGCACTAGGAAGCTAAAGCCACTTCTGCATGAGTTTGATCCATGCCCCAGGAGGTGACCACATTGTGCAGCAGACCTCTCCTGACCTGTCTGGTACTCCCCTTAACTGTGTACTTCATAAATCTGCCTGTTCTGCTCCCCGCTCTGTCTCTGGTGAATCTTCTCACTGCTCCTACACCTCTGGCCTGTACCCCAGTTCTGTGTGCATAAATAAATAAATCTTAAAAAAAAGAGAGAAAAGTAGGACCATTGATGTACCAGGAGGGATAGTTTGGTCATCAGACAAAGAGGATTTAACAAGCAAACAAATGGATTATTTCTGCTTTTTACTCTCCCTCTTGATAAATCCAAGGGGTAGGTAGAAAGAGTTTCTATTTCTACTCTTGTTTCATTTATTTATTTTGTTTGGTATTAATTCCAAGGTTTTGAGTTAGCTTATAGTGAGACCATATATAAAAAAGAAATGTTAAAGTCAGATCAGAAACCATAAAAATGGGGCCCTTCCTGGTGGTGCAACAGATCGAAGTGCAGCACTGTGAAGCTGTCTGCCAGGGAGGTGATCCACATAGCATGGCAGTCTTCTCCTGACTTGCCGGCTGCTCCCCTCAGCAGTATATTTCAGTACATCTGTCTATTCTGCTTCCCACTCTCTCTGGTGAATCCTCTCACCCTCCACACCTCTGGCCTGTACCTCAGTTTTTATGGGCATAAATAAATAAATCTTAAAAAAAAAAAAAGAACCATAAAAATAGAATGGGGATAAAATTCAGCCTGAAAACTAAGGTAAGGTCATTGTACTTGAACTTTAGCATTTAGTACTGTTCTTGGGCACCTTTATACTTGAATTAAATTCCCAAAAGAAACATACCAACTAGTTACAGTTCTTACCTGATCAAAAATAACAAGTTTTAAAAAAAGATTTATTTATTTATGTATACGGAACTGAGGTACAGGCCAGAGGTGCAGGGGCAGTGAGAGGATTTACCAGAGACAGAGTGGGGAGCAGAATAGGCAGATCTACTGAAATACACTGCTGAGGGGAGCAGCGGGCGAGACAGAAGTCTGCTGCACCAAGTTTAGCAATTTTTCGGGCTTGTGTTTTGGAATATCACACTTACGGCAAATGGCCACAGGGATACTTATGACCAAGGCTATCCTTTTTCTCAAATATCTGTCTAAAAATAGCTACTTAATTTCTTACTGAGAAAAGTTCTGATCTTGTATAATATTACAACCTTGAAGTTTCAAGGAAATCTTCACCTTTGGGATTCTTAGGCTACAAAGAAAATCTCTCTGACCTCAGTTCAATATGAAGAGGATGTTTTCTTTTGCTTTTTTTGAATTGTCTTTTGATGGATCCTAAAATTCCTTTGTCTTTGAGCCAGCACATTTCATTCAATAACATTTTAGGAATGTGTCCATATTTCCCACCACTTTATCCAGAACAGTTTCTCTGTTTTACAGTGGAACATCCAATCATGGTTTACTAGATATTTGTCCAATACTTTTTTTTATAGGTTCTGTTCCAGGTTTGGGGCTAATAGGAATGAATAAGATAGATAGGGTCTCTGGCCTTAGGATGTGTGGAGAAGGCTGTGTGGTGAGGTGAGTTGTATCTGGGTTTCAGCTTGGCACAGCAAGACCTCTCAGGTCACACTATGAAGGGTCTTGAGCAAAGCAGAATGGCAGGGTTTTATTACCATAGTAGTGGTACACAATAATTTTAGAAAAGCCAGAAGTTGCAGATAAATAAAATTATTGCTTGTAATCTTAATACTTAAATATAATTACCATTAACATAGTGGAGTATCTATAGCCATACATTTTTATAATTATATATGTATTTTTTTGTGGTGGAATAATTTACTTACACTAAATACACAGATCTAAAGTGTAGTTGATGAATTTCCATATATGTATGTCATCCCACAAAGCTCCCTCATTCTCATTTCCAATAAATTCATTTCATCCAGAAGTAACCTTTGTTCTGATTTCTCTTGTCATAGTTTAATTTTGCTTTAATGTCATATAAATAGAATCATCCAGTCTATACTTATTTGTGTTTGGCTTCTTTTGCATTTTTTAAATTTTAACTTTTTAATGGATGATACATTGAAATGATTCAAAATTTTAAAGGTATGGAGGATATGCAGTAGAGTTTTCTTCTTTCCCACTGCTATTTCCCTAGCTACCTGCTCCTCTCTATAGAGGCAGTCATGTTGCCTGTTTCTTTGTATCCTTTCTGAAATTTTAACTATGTTCAAGTAAATACATATGTATAACTGTTCTTAACCCCCATCTTTTGTATGTAGTAATATACCATATAGTTGTTTTATACATTTTTTTAAGATTTATTTTTATTTACCTATGCATATAAGAAATGGGTGTAGGCCAGAGGTGTGGGGGATGAGAGGATCCCCCAGAGACAGAGTGGGTAGCAGAACAAGCAGATCTGCTGGATATACTACTAAGGGGAGCAGCAAGTGAGACAGGAAATGTCTGCTGTGCCAAGTGGGTTAGCTTTCTGGCCATGGATCAAACTCATGTTGCAGTGGCTGGCCATAGCTTGATAGCCTGAGCCACCAGGGAGGCCCTGTTTTATACTTTTTATAAAATTTGAAAAGGTAATCATTTTGTATCAGTACTTGAATGCTCCCTTAATCCTGTATAGCTTACTTATTGGTCACAGTATTCTGATTTAATCAGTACCATGTAATTGGACATTGCAATCTTTTGCTATTCCAAACAGTGCAAAATTCTGTGCACAAGTTATTTCTCCGGGTATGAATTTATTTCTGTTGCATCATATTGGAAGGCACATATCATTTGGTTGTTTCTTTGTTGTTTGTGATAAACTTGATCTCTGGGTTCAGATATCGTCAGCTTTATTCATTGTTTATATAGAGTTCCTCTTGTAGGGATCCTTTTATGTCTTCTCCTTTTCCCTAACTTTTGGTGATTATTACCTAGATTTTTTTTTTCATCAGGACCTGCGAAATGGTGATAGTCTATTTCCATTATTGCTTTTGCATTTATCAGTTGGAATTCTGTAAGAATTTTCTTTTATGAGGGGCCTCCCTGATGGTACAAGGGGTTAAGTCTCAGCACTATGAAGCTAAGCTACCTGCAGCCACTGCAGCATGAGTTTGATCCCTAGCCAGGGAGCTTACCTACATGGTACAGCAGATCTCTCCTCTCACTCACTGCTCCCCTCAGCAGTGTGTTTCAGTAGATCTACCTGTTTTGCTCCCCGCTTTGTCTTTGGTGAGTCCTCTCACTCCAACCTTTTCCTTCCCCAACCCCCCCCCCCCCACACACACACAGTAACACCTGCATCTCTGGCCTATACCTAGCTCTTGTATGTATCAATCAATCTCTCTCTTTTTTTTAAAGGAACTTTCCTTTATGAACTATGATTGAATATGTAGCTGAGTTATTTCCTCAGAAATTAAATTTCTTGGACAAAGATAGTTTGAAACCTTTTTATAAATATTGCTAAAGTGCTCTTAAAGGTCTGAATGCTAGTCTACACCTCCACCATTATTGTATAAGAGAAATACTGTTTGCAATTTGTAGATACACTGAAGTAATACCTGAGAGTTGTAAAGCATAGTATGTCTTTGTCTATTAGAATTGTCATGGCTTGGCTTTTTCTTAGAGAGGACTAATAAACTACATTGGTATAAATAAAGTATGACTGTGTAAATACTTGTTTTTATAGTCTGTATGCATTGAAGATGTGTTAATTTTGAAATTTGAATGATAGATTGATGATGTTGGTAAAAAAATGAAACCCAACAACTTAAAGTTTTTAATCTTTGACCATGTGTATTAACCATGTTACTAAATATAATTACCATCTTACCTTAAACACTTAGAGAATTCTAATTTTTTCCTTTGCAGTGACATTGCTGGGGGCAGACCCCTGGAAGTAGAGATGGCAGGGATAGAGTACATGAATGATGATCCTGGTATGGTGGATGTTCTCTATGCTAAAGTGCATATGAAAGATGGTTCCAACAGGTATGTTTCTGGAATACTTTTTCGATCTTGAAAAATTTGAGGTGTCTACAATCATTCTTGGAGGTTCAGCTACTACTTTTGATTTCTTAGGGGAATATTATTTTATAAAGAACATCAATTTTTTTTTAAGTAAGCTAATACCTTAAAAGAGGGATTTGTTGTGGGAAAAACGATCAGATTTTTAGTGATAATTGAGTATCCAAATATAGTGGATCCAGATAACTTCACATTTGGGAACTCAGTGCTTTCTTCATGTTTTCAGGATAATAGGAAACAGAAGAATGGCATATATATAGGATGGTAGTTTCAAAAGTGACACATGCAGATCTCCTGAATACTAGAACAAAATGGCAGTGGTAATTTTGGTAAATTCATCGGGTTACTAGGGTTAAATTTATCTACATAAAATGCTTAGAATAGTGGTTGGCAATTAACATCATTAAAACATACATTAAAAAATGTTTACTATTTTTAATTTTTTTATTATCACAACTAAGATATTTCTGAGGCCAGTCTAGGCATCCAGAGCCATTTTCAATATCAGTATATGCAAGGCATTAAGTGAACAGAGGGTCCCAACTTGAATTGGAAATTCTTCTCATTTTTTTTTTTTCCAAATTAGAACAGAATAGAATGAAATGCATGCTGAAATCAGAAATCCTCTAGAGAAAATCTTAAGTCTCTAGGTAGGCCTTCAAATTGATTTGCTTTCCTATAAGCTTTCTTAAGATTTTTCTTATCTCAATTTGAATTGATAGTTCTAATTAACTCTTATTTTAATTCATTTGGAAGTCAATTTTGAGGGGAAGGAAGAGAAAAATGGCATAGAACCAGTGGTGTGTGGGGTGTGTGTGTGTGTGTGTCTTTGGGACCAGATTTATCTTTTCCAAGACAGTTGGCATGTGCCTAAAGAGCATACTATGACCCTGCTGTAAAAACTAGGGGTACAGTATGACTTCACAGGAGATCATATGCTAAGACATCCCAAAGCCTCATTATTTTGTATTCCAAGCAATAACTGTCCAAATGCCTTTTCTGTGTCAGAGGATTACTATGTATGGGATAGAGGAATACGTGGAGTAGTTTACTTTTCAATTTTTGTAAGCAGAAACTAATTATAAGGTAGTAATTCTAAAATTCTTTGGTCTCATATCTCTTTAATTTCCTAAAAATTGCCTCAATGAGCTTTTATTTACATGGGCTATATTTGTTCGATATTTACCTTACTAGAAATTAAAACTGGGCAATTTAATATTTGTTAATTTGAAGCAGTAGTAATACAATAACTTATTATTTGTATAAGTAACACATTTTTATTATTTCTTTAATTAAAAAATTAAGATTTATTTTTATTTATTCATGTGTACAAGAATTCAGACGTAGGCCATAGCTTTAGGGTAGTGGGGAGGGTGCGAGGAGGATTCACCAGAGACAGAGTGGAGAGTAGAACAGGCTGATCGACTGAAATACACTGCTGAGGGGAGCAGTGGATTTGACAGGAGAGGTCTGATGATTTGTGTGGGTCAGCTCCCTGGCCTGGGATCAAACTCTTGCTGTAGCATAGTACTGAGATTTAACTCCTGCATCACCAGGAGGCCCAAGTAACACTTTTATTTTACAAAAAAAAAAAAAAAAAATCACTATTTTCTAAGCCAAAGATTTTTATGAGAATTTTACTTTAGGTGATTTCCTATAATAGATATACATGTAGGTTCTCAATGTTTAACACTTGAAATTTATATAATGTTCAAATAAAAAATTTTTTAATGCATATATAATGCTATCTCAGATGTTTCTACTAATTCTAACAGACTGTATTTAACTCACCTTGTTTAGAGAATTGATATAAGCACTCAAAAAAACGTAGTGAGAAAAATAGGCATTGTTTCCCATTTCTGTAAATATCTTTAATAGAAGACTGCTGGAGACATTGTCAATCAGCATGCGTGCGAGACTGGGGGCATCAGGGGCTAGGTCACACAGGTAGGAGCTGTGGACCTGCTGATTTCTTGGAAGCACGAGCCAGAGTTTTCTGTCCTTCAGTGGTTCTCCAGACCATTTCATAGGAATGTCTTTTCCAGCTTTGGATCACAATTTATTACTGAGACATGAACTCAGCTGAGAGGGTCATAAAAAATTTGAGTAGAAAAATGGCAGAGGACAACACATGTCAGAATGGTAAATATTGTGAAGATTGTTTGGGTTCCATGTTTATGCATGTATCTGTACTGAGTCATGGTATAAATTATGTCTGCAGTCAATAAAATTCAAATTCTTTTGTGCTAAAAAAAAAAAAGCTACTATTTAAACCATTTGAAAGTATGCCATTCAGTGGCATTAAATACATAACAACGTTGTGCAACCATCACCACTGTCCAGTTCCAGAACATTTTTATTATTGCCACTTTCCATTCTTCACTACCTCCATCTCTCTTTTCCCAGCCCCTGAGTAGCACTAGTCATTAATTGTCCATGTGTTTGACTATTCTGGATATTTCCTATAAGCAGAGCTACATAAGGTGTCCTTTGGTGCTTGGCTTCTTTTAGTCAGTATGTTGTTTTCAAGGTTTATCTATCTTGTAGCATGTATTAGTGCTTCAGTCCTTTTTATGGCTAAATAATACTCCCTTGAATGAAGATACCACATTTTGTTTATAAGTTGATACACATTTGAATTGTTTCCACCTTTGGGGATTCTTATTAGAGCTGTTTGCAACTCTTATGGGATGACTCATGTCTTTTTTTTTTTTTTTTGATAAAAGATTTATTTATTTATGCACACAGAACTGGGGTACAGGCCAGAGGTGCAGGGGTGGTGAGAGGATTCACCAGAGACAGAGTGGGGAACTGAACAGGCAGATCAACAAGGTACACTGCTGAGGGGAGCAGCGGGTGAGTCAGGAGAGGTCTGCTGTACCATATGGGTCACCTCCAGGGTGGGGATCGAACTCATGCTGAAATGGCTTTAGCTTCTTAGTGCTGTGCTTTAACCCACTGCACCACCAGGGAGGGCCCCATGTCATTAAAACATATCATAGACATGGTTTTTATTTTCTTGACTAACTTTATAATTTTATAAGCAAAATAGTCACTCAGTTTGACCTCTATTTGTTTCCTTCTGTTATGGGAATTATGTAATTTTTTGTTGATACTCAGTATAAACTTTACTGTTTTAAAGCTTAAATCTGTGCTAACCTCTGGATACATAGTTAATATGAAACTACATGGAAAATTTACATAGGATTACAGTGTTTCACTAAATAAAATACTGATTTATTTTTCTAATCTATGGATTCAAATATATATATATATATATATATATTTTTTAAAGATTTATTTATTCATTCATACAGAACTGGGGTACAGGCCAGAGATGCGGAGGGTGAGAGGACTCACCAGAGACAGAGCCGGGAACAGAACAGGCAGATCGACAAAGTACACTGCTGAGGGGAGCAGCGGGCGGGTCAGGAGAGGTCTGCCACGCCATGTGGTCACCTCCGGGGCAGGCGGGGATCGAACTCATGCGGAAGCGGCTTTAGCTTCTTTGTGCTGTGCTTTAACCCGCTGCGCCACCAGGGAGGGCCCAGGATTCAAATATATTTTAATATATAGATGGCATGGACTCCACAGTTTTGATTTACTGTTTTTGATGACTTCCAGAGCTGAAAAGAGGAGTCACAGGGAAAGAATGATAAAATCATTATTTTGAAATGTTTCCACTGAATATGTTTACCTTTAGCTTTAATGGTTAGATCCTTAATTTGTGGGAGGTCTTCAAGTATGGAGAAGAATAGGAAGTTCTAAGATTGGAAGAAAATAAGAACTATAGAAGTCAATATCTTCTGAACATAGTTCTTAACTTCTACATACCTAATGGAAGGATAAGGGATCCAAAGGTGAATATATTCTTTATTTTCCCACAGACCAAACTCCTAAAATTTTCTAGTTTTTCTGTTGTCAAGATTTTGTAAGTCAATAAACCAAGAACATATTTAAATAATTCCCATTTCTCTTACTGCTTTGCTTTCTCTTTTCTATTGCCCATTCCTCCTTCATAATGTGAGTGTGTTATTTCAAAGAGATTTATAAATCTATTTATAAAAAAAAAAATCCCTTCCAAGATTTATAATGTCTAAGGAACTTATACACCTCTTACGTAATTCAATTTAAAAACTATTTGAATGCCTCCTTATGGAAGTTATTTTGCAAGGCAGTACAAATTGATGTACAATTGAAACATGGCCCTGTTTTCAAGGAGCATTCAATCTTTTTGTTTGTTTGTTTTTCTTTGTGTAAAGAGACACTGCTCAATCCAAAAGGCTGTGGTAAGAAGTCATGTGGTAGAAAAATACAAATGCTTAACTTTTGATGTATAATTTCATTTATTTTAAATCAAAGAATCCCTTAAACTGAAGTACCTGATCTTTAAAAGGATCACTTAGATCTACTTTTCTTATGGAACATAGAGGTGGAGCACAGTGTAAACACACTTACACATTCTTAGGTTTAGTAAAGCATAACTGGGGGAGTAATTTCTGGAAACGTTTTGCTCATTACTTGATAGACAGATGCTGCTGTGACTTAAGCTTTGAACACAGTTACTATTCTGTTCTCTTACTCCCTATTCTCCCAGAAAAGTGGCTTTCCCACATTTTGCTTAAAATATGAAGCCAAGGCCCTCCCTGGTGGCGCAGTGGTTTAAAATGCAGCACTATGAAGTTGTCCACAGACACTGAAGCCTGAGTTCGATCCCTGGCCAGGGAGCTGACACACATGGTATGGCAGATCGCTCTGTCCCTCCCACTGCTCCCCTCAGAAGTGTATGCCTGTTTTCCTCCCCACTCTGTCTCTGATGAATCATCTCACCCTGCATTTCTGGTCTCTGGCCATCTCTGGTCCATTCTTATATGCATAAAATAATAAATCTATAAATAAAAATACTTTTTTTTTTTTAAAGAAGCACGAAGCCAGCTCATTGACTTATTTCCTTATTCTTTCAC